AAAGTATTTTTGTTCCAGGAAAAAAAACCTTTATTCTCTTTCTGAGATAAATATTAAATAATAATATAATCTCATTTCTTTTGCTTACCAAGCAGATTTTTTAAGGCTAGGTGGTAATTCTTTCCAGGTCCATAAAATGGTCGAGCTTAGTGTTAAGCACGCAATGTGCCAACCTACGCAGCCGGATCCGCTTTTATTACTGAGTGAATGTAGTATTTAAGGTATAGTCCCTTGTCATAGGGTTTTGGAAATGCTTCATTTCGAGCGTAATTGTGTTTGGTTCTTGGAAGTGATCCCAGAGATTTGTTTTATTCTTTTATGCTTTTCTTATTTTAAATGTTACTGGATTCTATCCTGTAGGTGTATTTATTAGAGGCTGGCGTGCAACGGTTGAGTATATGTGCTCCTAGAGCTACATTACAATAAGGGAAAAGCTAAGAGGGACGTGGCAAGATTACGATTTTTTTTGATTGGAGTGGAAGTATTAGTATGTTATAAAGCCGTGATTCTAGATGTTTTGGATGAAAGAAAGAAAAAAGACCCTAGGACATTTTTATTAAAGCGTAAATTCTACTCAAAAAAGAGTTTGTATTAATTCACTTTTTTTAAATAAAAAATGGGAATACGGGAACTTAATTAAATAATACCTCGAATAACGCTACTCTTCTATGTCCAATTACTTAGATGACTTATTATCCGAATCGGATAGGCGGCATTACAGAAACTCCGCATCATCTTTTCCTCCAAAAATCCTGTGGCTGGAAACAAAATCTTTTAGAGCAGTAAGTCTTAGTGGTGGTCTATATGGGAGGCATATAATCACTATAAGTATTATATTTTACGGAATTAGAACCTAGAGATTTTTATTGTAACGCTAAGTTTAAAGCAACTATTTCTGTCATACCTTGTTCTATCCTAAAAGAAAAAAATACCTTTAGAAGTAAACAGTAACAATAAAAAATCATAGAGAAGATTTCATAATAGCGAAGATATAATGTAATAAACATATTAGTAACAGAGGCCTTTTAAAAGGTCGTAAATCTTATTTTATCTTTTAACAGATACAAATTACGTAGTAATAGGTTTACATTTGTAGGAAATAGTTTCACTGCAGTTTAAAAATGAACAACGGCTACAGAATCCTGTATGATAGTGTTTATTTATATTTGTTACGAAGTTTACAAACGCGTAGACATTCTGGTAAAAACTCGAAATAATCTTAGTTTAGTATTGTCGTCAATTACCTGATAAGGCCTAGGCATCATATGCACAACTATGACTGTATTATTTGAAGTTCTTTAAACAGTCTCTATTCTTTGTCTAGATATTCTATCCCGTGAATGAAATATATATCCCCCTAAGTAACATCGTTATCATGAAAAGTCGCCAGAGCACCATGCAAACAGTTCAACTCCAACGCTAGTTTTACGATATACCTCAGCCTATGCTTGTCCACTGCTGGACATAGGCCTCTCCCAATGATTTCCAGCGGGGACGGTTGATTGCGGCCTGCATCCAACGGTTTCCGGCAACCTTTACCAGGTCGTCCGTCCATCGGGTAAGCGGTCGACCGCCTACCCGAGTTTTACGATGCGAGCTACGAATAATAATTTATTTAAAAAAAGAGAAATTATTATACGTAGATTGCGATGGTACAATAACCGCTTACCATATGACAAATTATTTAAACGATATAAAAATGGAGGAGGTTCCTAATTGTTTGAACATTGTTTTCCTAAATCATCATCCTAACCTAAATCTTGCTCGTTGATATATGTACCTTTTCACGAAAGCGGCCATTATGTAACCTTTTGTTGATACAAAATTGTTTAACTATAAGTACAATTTTAGACTGTTATGTACGCACGCTGGAAGACACAAAAATAAACCAACTAAAGTCAGTAGCGTTGGTAGAACCAAGAATAAGAATATGAGCGCCAAATGCGTCAATGGGCAGATTCTTTCACTTTTTACCAGTACTTAGTATTTATAGACTTGGAAATATCTATGTTGAAAGACGAAACAAAAGCTTTAAATAAGTGCTAATGGTATCAAAATAAGTTCTCATTTAATTCTTGAATATAATTATCTTTTAAATAATACAGCAGTAGTAATAATGGCATAACTTTTGTCTAATAGTAAACTGAGGAAATCCTTGTAAGCTTATATTATCTGTATTAGATCCTGAATATCGATTATAACAGATAACAAAAGTTAGTAGTCGATATAAAAACACTACTGATTTATATCCAATGCCTAAAATACAGTTGGTATTTTAGGCATTGGATTGCATATACCCTATTATAGGACGCCCTAGCAAATTCATTACAACCTTAAAGCTTTATATATTACAAATATGTAGGGTTATGTATGTGTGTAACTAGATAAATATTTATGTATGTGTATGTATTATGTATCTATGTATATTTATCTCATTGTTTCTGTCTTTCTTCTCAATAAGATTCTTTGACTTTACAAATAAATTCCTAGTGCACCTAGTCAGACATTTCAGCACCACCCTAAGGTAGACTGGAAGAAAATGCCACCGCCACTGTATAACCTATACGTGTGCATAAAGTATTAAAATAAAATAACAATTTTCAACTGAATAGTTTGAGGGCTCCGAGTTCCCGGTAATAGTCAGTCCAAGTTGCCGATACGCGACCCTGACCTACTAGAGATATTGCTAAACCCCGGCCAATTCATCCGTTTAAACAATATCCGTTTTTTACCATTTCTTTCCTATCCCATCAACTGTTCCATTCATATTTAACTCACAATTCTCCCATCTAATTCCTAAAGCGTCCAATTGACGGCAATAGATTTACCCTCCAGTACGTAAATGGGTGCAAATAATAGTCCTCAAAATGTGAGCATTTAATACGTTTCTGCTTCCCCCTTCATATAGGTATGAATGTATTTCTGTGACTACATTACATATACATGTACCTACCATTAGACTCATTTTTTCAACCAGAACTCTAATTCGCTCTCTCATTCATCCTTTCTACCATATTTAATTAACTTTATAAATCAATGTAAACTCTAAAGTGGTTCTGAACTTGCTTCTCGGTACTTGTTAACTACGTAAGTACCTACAGGATACGTTCGTCCGGCGTCCTCACTCATTGTGTGGGGCTGTCGGTGACTATTTTTGTCCGCCTCTAACTAATGACATCAAATTGCCCCCCGCATCTACCAGAATAAACTAACAAAACAAAAATAAACGTTGCGTGAAACCATCGTATATGTATAGGCATGCGGAAAAATAAATATGTGGTTATCTATATTGTCTAAAATAAAACTAATTAAAAAGTTATTACATGTCTATAGTATATTCCTAAAATAAAATTATTACTCGTACTTATTATTTCAAACGATAACAAAAGATACATTAGCCGTGGCCTTTTTGTTTTTTGGAACGAAGTTCCTTATAAAGTTAGGTTAAGTTAAGTTTAAAGCAGACTGTATAGCAAACATCTACCAAAAAGCAAAAGGAACTTCGTTCCGACCGCGGGTCCATAGACTCCTTACACCTTTTTTTTATTACATTATTTTCGTTTTGTAGCGTATATGTACTTAAAAATTATGTCCCATGTGTACATGTTTGTGCCTGACTGTCGAAGGATGGTTGTGGTTTTTTGATCTAAGGGGTAAGGTAGAAATGTGCATCTAGCTATAATTGTATCTATGTCTATCTACTGCTGAAACATACGAGTACTAGTATTACTACTACTGAAATAAGTACCTAAGCATGAACCTGCCAGCTTTTAAACAGTGATTGTAATTATTTATTAATTATATTGCGAATATTAATGATATTTGCGAATAACAAAGCATCAATCATGCATTATTAACCCTGTAAAAATATAGTATTTTAATAAACTCAACAAGACTGTTTTGGAAGAACATATCAGTCATTTAAAAAGGGTATATCCCTTTCATTAAATTTGTATTCCTTATTAAAATGGATTACTATTAGATTTATTTACTACAACAATAAAAAAATGTTGCTCAATACTAAAACTTAAAATGTGTTATTCTAGCTCGTTGGACATAAAATCAAACGCTTTAATATAATTTAATTCCACAAAACACTTGGTCAATAACCTCATATAAATAGATCGTTAGTAATTTTAGTTTTTTCTACAATTCTCTCAATCTACAATTCCAACAGAATGTTACAAAAATGACTATTAATAATATTTCACAGGATAAATTGCCAATGGAAACGAAATATGAGACAAATTGTAAAAAAATACTTGGTTATAACAACAACATATAAACCCACACCGGCGTACAATCAGTGAACACGTAGAAAATCCATCATAATAGTGAGTTTTGTCCATGGCCAGTGGATCGGAAACCACGGTTAATTGACGTTGCCGATCCGGAACCACCGTTAGCGATCCCGCCCATTATTCTACAGTCATTGTCATGATGCCATGATGGCTACCAATTGATTTCGAAATTTCAAATAAAGAACAGGTGAAAAACTAACCATCGAAAATATCGTAAAACTACACATCCGGTTTTATCTTCTGCTATTATCCCACAAAATAATTCTGCACTCTAATTCGGAAGGGATCAATAAAAACTTCTCTTAAGAAGAGTGAGAAATCGACTTATATCTGTTTTTGTGTAAGTGAACAGGTTTGTGAGAGATCAATAGGTTAATAAAATTGGTAACCGTTTACCATTAAGCAAGTGTAGAAAATCTTACCTAGGGCCAATGCCTCTGTAACTCAACACTAATAAAAGTTGATAAAGCGTCAACCTTTTTACTTTGTCTATAGACACAGTTAAAAGAGAGATCCTGTTTCTATTTTACTTTAACAATGTGAGAACATCTTCTCGAAAAATTACATGTACGAAAAATTACATGTACTAAAAACGGAACTCAAAACCCGAAAATTTTCGGTTACAGCTCATAAAAAAAAAGACTCAGACGTCTTCTGCGGCATACATTTATTTTAAAATGTGCTTCGCATTCTGAACCAATGCAGGAAGGAAGTGACGTAAATTGCGAGTCACATTATTCACCGTCGTACACGAGTATTGTTCCTGAAATGGTAAGGCGCTTAGAACGAAGTAAAAGTAAAAGGAACAATTCGTTTTGCCTCACTTATTATGACTATGAATGCATAGATCATACTTCCAATTAATGTGTTACTAAAATTCCTTGTAGCAGCACCGATCTATTTCACGACCGCGCCTTAAAGTTCACATATAACGGGTGGGTGTAGCTAATTGGTTTATTAGAAATTGACGTGGTGCGGTGTTTTCATTGAGCACACACACACACACACACACACAATGTTTACAAATAAGTGGAAATAGTATTTTCCCCTTAGGACCGACTAATGAATTCTTTCTTTCAATGTTACGCATTGGGTAGAATTAGCAAAAAAACCCTGAAAAATTCGGTAAAGTCCCCTTGGAGTGAAATTTATTTTTTATTTATTAATGACTCAACTATCAGGAATTGATGGCAATAAAAATTATAACAAAATTTTGTCAGCTAATGTGCTAAAAAAATTTCAAAAATATTAAATATCAGTTTTTCGCGTCTGGAGCAAAAGCTAAAACTAAAGAGGGGTTTTTTTAACGTATATAATTTCATCTGTATATTACGGATATGTAATAATTTCACCAATATATTACGGAGGAGTTTAACTCCAAATCTTCAAATTTTTGGATCATTTGATAAATATGCATTTGCTTAAATAGTCAATAAAGAACAGGTACATTGTGCGCGTGCGGCAGCGGCGTAAGTGACCTGTAAAAGTCCTCTATCGCTTCCTGAACGCGAGTTATTAATTTTCCAAGTTTTGGCAGTAGCGTGGTCCGATTTTGCTCGCCGGGGGTTCTTCATCTTTGTTTTTTATTACGCAGATTTGTTACATTCAATTATTTTTTCGTAGGAGCTTTTATTTCCGCTAATCTATCAATTAATCAATTCCTGATAGTTGAATCTTTAATAAAAAAATCGGTTCAATAGGAATTTTCCGGACCAAAAAGCTAATTCTACCTGTCTATTACTGAGAGTTGAGCTGATGAACACTTGATACGACATCATTTTTGCCATAGGACGTTTATTCACATTCGCGACATTATTCATCAATTCTAATCAAGGTACTTACATAATTATATGATGGCAGTATTTCACCAATGTTTTTATTTTATAATTACTACATTATTTCGGATGCCGAACGTAATTTTAAGAAATAAATATTTCGTTTTAGGTATCTAGTCATTTTGATTGCTTCACAATTAACAAAAATCAAATTAGGTAGATCAATTAAAATAAATAATAAACAGTAAAGGCAAGTACCAATCACGACGGTCATACTGGTAAGTGCCACAGAACTACGCGGTTTTGTGCCAAAATATAAGTACGTCATTAAACGCCAGTCTCATGTTTTTATCTATATGAGCAAGTTTACTTTATTATTTATAACAAGTTACTGACGGTGAAAGTCAATGTCAGTGTGCAAAAGTATTAACAGCATGAAAAGTATTCAAAATACATAAAATGAAGTAATTGTAAATATATCCATGCAACATAGGATTTCATTTGCATGTTACGGCATTAAAGTATAAAATTTGAGGCACATAAAAGTTATGAAGTAATATCCTATACTTATTTGTAAAGTTGTAAGAGAAGGGGCGTTATGAAATCACGTCAATAATAAAGCAATTTCGGCTAATGAAAGTGCAAACATAAACAATAGAATTTTATGCAATCAAACAAATTAAATGTACGAGGCAAAGAGAAATTATTATATGAATAGAATTAGTCCTCTTAAACCGGGTATTGGTATTTAAAGTCTGACTACTAACCGTTCATTGTCTATTTATTCTCTTAATTTTCAGATTAGGTCGTAATTATCTCGTAATAATTTACGTTGTAATTACGGTTAATCTGTAAAGACTTTTAATTCTAACGTAATTTTTTTGGCAATTGAAGAATTTTTTTTAGATCATGTGTTTACTTGTGGCATCATCTTTTATTATTGAGCAAGTAATATTCTGCAGCCTCGAGAAGCTTGCCGAAGGGCCTAAGCGATGAAGTTTTGCCAATAGAATTAGATTAGCAACACTCTGAAAGATGAAATTAATTAAAATTCAACTCAGCGTTTTCAGCTGTAATAATTGTCACTTATTCTTGTACTTAGATAGTTTTAAGGTTTTCATCTTTATAAGTAACTAATTCAATTATTCACCCACTCTTAAAAGCACCTACACTGTAGATTATTCGTCAGTGTTGGTTCCGTGACTCAATTTAAATAATTTATAAACCAATTAGCAAACGTGATGCTCATAATAGAAAGATAAATACACTAAAGTTATATTTTATTTTTAACTACTGTATTACTTCATTTGTATAATTGCATACATATGAGATAGTGATGATGACAAGACTACAGATTATTTAAAAAATTGTAGTTAATTAATTTGATGTTTTTTTTTGATTATTAAGTAATATAATTTTTATAGTAGGCCAAAACCTTCTTTCTAAGGAGAGGCCTATGTCCAGCAGTGGACTATTTAAAGGCTGTTGATGATAATTTTTATATTTATTTTGGTTTCATATCTAACCGCTAGTACAACATTCGGCGATATCTCACAGTAGTTTCATTCATTAAAAAAAAAATTTAAGTTATCAAAATATAGATGTTTCTGAGATTTATTAAGAAGTAGAAGTTATACAGAGTGTGCTCGGTAAATTTAAGGTAATACTTCCTTCTTTCGAGCCTTTTTCCAGACCTAGTCAAGTCTTTCTTTAAGTCTGATAAGATACAGCTGAACTTCGATTTAATATAATACTTAATGTAATTTGAATATAATACTAATTCATGAAAATGGAATATTCACAATATGATATATCTAAGCTAACAATAAGTTAAGACAACTTCCACATTGAAAATATAGCTCCCACTGGCAGCGTACAGTGGAATGACCGTGTCTAAAAAATACAATATTAAAATTTGTTAAACACCGTAGCATATGGGAGCTTACATCTTCAAACTTGTCTCCCTCATTCCGTAGGCCTCATGGAAAACCGTTATCTCACTGCTAAGATATAATACTCGGATTTTATCGATAGTATTTGGCAGACAAGTATTTGGAGAGAGACCTTTCCTGGTTTTTAAATACAAGAGTGAATCCCAAGGGGGTAAAGAAAAAGGATCGTTTACTTTGAAATTTGACTTATACGAATTAGAAGTCGTAATGTTTAAATCTTAACGCTGTTGTATAATATGATTTTAATGTACTAATTAGTTGTGTTGAAGAGTTCGTCGTCATCTGAATAGAATAGGCGAAAGCTGTTTAATATAGTTGAGAATTTTTAATATAAGAATAAGTTCTAATCGCAGTCGGATCTCAGACGCCTGAAATGCGATAGGTATTTTGGACGACCCGGTACATTGGCAAAGAACTTACCGTTATAGTTCGCTTTAAGCTAACTTTCACTTTATTACGTAGTTTTTAAAGTTTTTATTCATTGTAGTGTTTATAGTAAGTGGGTATCTGTACGAAAATACTAACCTTTCAGTGATCGCAAATACAGATTCAACATCATCATCTTCCTGGCCCTTTTGAAGATAAATGTGAATATTAAATATACGTGTCGAAGCCGGCTGCCTGCTTGACGTCAATGGAATATAATAGTTATCAAACGAAATAAAGGCAAAAGGTATAATAGGCTAATAAGGGCTAATAAAAAGTAAAAGTCGAGTGAGTTACGATAAAAGGCAAGTCTTGGATCCCCCCATCGTGACTGAGACAAGTAGTTTCACGCAGTCACGTACACTGGAGAGGCCACTAAGACAGGAATATCAACTAGTTGCTAGAGGTTGGCATTACATATAAATTATTATAGTTTGTATATTTATATTACGTGAAAAAGGAATTCGCAGAACAACAGCACTGCAAAGAGAAGGAAAACTTGAAACAAGCCTTATACCAATCCGTCTGGCCAGCGTGGTATTATACGCCAAAGGTCCTTTTTAAGGAGAGGCTTATGTCCAGCCAGTGGACTACTAAAGACTTTTGATGATGATGATGAAAAAGGAATTGGTAATTACCTTAGCCACGCGAAATGCAATTATTTTCACTTTATTATATTTCCAACACCTTTCAACTTTACTTCTCTACCTCAAATTTACTTTTGATAATTTTAGTTGCTGTTTCCAACAGAGTTTAATTTTTCCTAACTTCCGAAGTGTCATTACTCAATGTGTTCGTGGGTCACTGCTGATCCTGGTATACAGGAGATACAGTAGTGGACATTTGGTAGGGATTAATCCAATATCAATAAGTTTTTCCGTTAATTATGTTCCTAATTTGTTTTAGTGCGTAAATGAGATCAGCTTGTTATTTTATAAAATATGCTTGTTTAACACCCTCTGTCTACCCCAGTTTGTGAAGATACAGGTATAAATATATGTGTATGTGTTAATGCTTATTTGTATTATGCAGGCATCGGTTCTGCGTTCTATTGTTTCTTATTTACTTTTTTTACATTTTCATTGCATCTGGTAAAGGTTTATGAGGTTACACAAACTCGTAAACGTAAATACAGATAGAATCACCGTCGTTCTAGTTCTCTTTATCGTTCTTTTTAATACCTTCTGTATCACTGTTGTTGTCGTTTAATTTGTTTTATCACGTCGATGATACGTCATATATTGATAAGACATTGATTTTAACCATTCTTCAACATAGAACAACTGTTGTTGGTTCTCTTATTAGGAATTTGGTATACTTCTGATGGTTCTACACTGAGTACTTGCAATCTCCAACACCTTTCCGCAGCTGTAGGTGTTTTGATCTACATATTTGGGCTTTGAAAAACCATATTCAAGATAACATATGCCCAGTGATTCCTTAGGTGCTACAAATAAAAACTTATCTGCAACTGTAATACTCGTACTTGCACTTGATGACGTTGTGATGCTCGTGCACAGTTCATGGGTTGATGACCAAGATAATTGAGAGTTACTAAATATTTATTTATTTATTTTATTTATTTATACATCTTTATTGTACACCGCTACAGTATATATTGTACAGACATGGATGGACATCTACATTTTGGTATTACAATAGGCGGTCTTATCGCTCACGGCGATCTCTTACAGTCAACCTTTACACGATATTGTTTAATTTGATTTAGGGTAGGTAGTCTATGTGTAATGTGTACTTCATAACACTTTAGATAATTAATATATATGAAAATAAACATACAAAATACGCTTACAATATACATACTACTAACACATATAAATCCATATAAATAATAAATACATACAAAGGTTATAAAGGTTAATACAGAAATCGTTTTTAACCTGTGACGTATTAAGTGTTAACAAACAATCAATATCCCTTCAACAGCCCTCACAATGTCAAGTAGTAATTTGTAACTTGTTTTTTTGAATAATTTAAACGATATGGCTTTTCGGATTGCCTCTGGTAAATATTATAACTTTATTGTTAAAAAGATATCATCTATTATGAATATTAATTAACCTATGGCAACCAAATCTTATAACACATAAACTCGTAAGTGTATACTCGTATTACATGCGTAAAGGTTGAATAATAATAAGAACATACCCGGTTACAATAAAGAGAAACCACTAATGGTCAACAAAAGAGACAATGAACGTAGAGAGTGACGAAAATAACGTGGACCCTGGACTATAGCAAGCTGTCAAGGTTGAGCCAAGATTTTAATAGACACTTTCTTCGCGCCAAAAAAGCGTTTGTGTAGCGAAATATTAATTAGTTTCAAACTGTTTCTCTCTTTTCTATTGTCTTCGATTCTATTTAATACATTTACAAATAAAATATAGCATTTTATTAAAACGTCAAAACCTCCTTTGTAAGGAGAGGCCTATGTCCAGCAGTGGACTAGTAAAGGCTGTTGATGAAGATGATGATTAAAACGTCAAATAGGATGAATTATATCCAGCAATGCTTAAAAATAAAAATCTTTTTATTTCTTACTATATAATAAATCACGGATTCAATATTTATTTTTATTTCTTTAGATTGCCTTAAAATACCCTTTTCATTTACTTTTTGTTTTTGTAGACGACAAACTATTTTTATTTGTATACATTTAATCTTTCTTAAATTCTCCATCTTAATCTTCATTATTATTCAGGTTGCATGTTTTATTTTATTAACAGTCGTATTTTCTTGTCTTTAGGACCACGTCGCCTCCCGGAGAGCCTTTAGTACGGGCTCCGGTGGGCAAGCCAAGATGTCCGCCAGCTATATCAAGACTGCGAGTAGAAAAGGTGGAAGGAGGGCTTGCAGTGGCCGGCGTAGTAGTTGCAGCCAACTGCCAGATTGTTCTGCCAATATTCGGCTTTCTATTTATGCTCGTTGGATGTGTGTTGACAGGTAAGTTGAAAATATCCTGGAGTGTAAAGACAGAAGTATCTACCTGCTTGTCGCTTATAAAGTGTCCCTACCTTACATTATTTCTATACTTTCTTCTTTTTCTGAAACATAGTGCTAAAAGTTAAAAGTTAGTGTTGTTAACACAATACTACTACTGCAACGTAATTTCATTCTCACTTCTTATTATAGCCTCTCTGGTCACACTACATCCAATTACTAAAAAATACTTGTCGTTCCTAAAATCTTACTTACCTATTCAAAATTATAAAAAAATTGCCTATTCTGTATTCGGTATTTTGGTATTGGTATTGGTTGTGGGCTTCGGTTTCCGCATTTAGGCTCAAGAGTGGTCCTTTATGCGTCGAGGATTGGTTAGCTAGGAGAGCCAACCAAGTATTCGGTATTTTTTATTTTGTTATAGCGTATTATAATTGAAATACAAGAGGTAAAGGTTAATAAAGTAATTAGGTTTTTTTGTATTATAGTTCTTTAAAAAACATAGAATTTCTTTAAAGTAGCTACGTTCGTTAGTATGATAGAAAAGAACTAAATGTCTAAAACCCCTTTCGTTAAAGCTACATAAAGCTAATTATTTAAGCTATCATAAAGCTTTAAAAGTTATTAGATTCGTATAAAATACTATTAATCATGGCTACTAGAAACATTACGAAAACAAAGTGTAATGCGGCCTTCGGCCTTCTTCTTCAAAAATAAAGATCAGAAGAGTAAACAAATTACGGTTCGTAGACTGACGCAACAATTCCAATCCATACTCATATTATAAATGTAAAGGGAGTTTGTTTGTTTGTTACGCTTTCACACCTAAACCAATAAACCGATAAAACAAATTCTTTCACCCATAGAAAGCTACATTATCATCGAGTAACATTGCCTACTTTTTACCGCGATACCCGAAATACATGCAGGAGGAGCCGTGGGCTAAACTTGTTAAATATTTTAAAAGAATTCTTGGATACATACGAGTACATCACATCACATCTAGATATACAATTAACCCCTCATACACGCTAATCATCATCATCTACTACTTTTAACTAAGCCCCCGATCTGGACAGTACTTGATGTTTTTCGGGCTTTATTCTACTCAGCTACATCGATTTGTCACTCACTCGCGGAGAGTTGTAAATTCCTACACAATTTAAAGGCGCCGAAAGTAATTTAGAATACAGAATTGATTGTTACATTTGTTCAATATTTTTATTCTTATAATTGTGTTTGATTGTTCAAAATGAAAATTAGATTTGGTACTTGGTACATTAATAGTTTACTAGCCCGAAAGTTCCCTATCCACAATATGTTATGTATGAAATAGGTTATGTGCTGTGAATAATTGATTGTAGACTCGTTGAAAAAATTTGTTATTGGTTCTATAGGTGGATTTTGTATGTTTTAAGTTAAACCAAGAAGTTACCAAGTGACTAGTTACTTAGCACACAAGTTTACCTACCCATGTCCTATTCGGTGTGCAGAAACATTCACTGTAGTTCTTTTGTAATATACATCTTTACATTTATGATGACCTACTGTAAGCATATCCCAACAAAGTCACAATGGGAAAAGTAGAGTAATTAATAAACAATTATTTTATAATTGCAGCGGCATCATACCGCGGCTGTGGTGAGAATGAGGAGCCGGATCATTATGCGGCACGAATAGCATTCACTGGCAACTCTAGAGTACTGGGGCCTGTGTGCATCGTCGCTGGAGCACTGATGACTATTGCTGGTTAGTATTACATTGTTGTAGCCTACTTACTAGTGCCTAGTAGTACTAGTCAAGTTTCGTCAAGTTTTTGAGAACCATTTTACCAGCCGGAAAAAAAGTACAATTCAAAAACACTCGCGTGCTTTAAATACGAGTATATTCTCGAATCACTCACTTCCGTCCTTCATAATGAAAAATCAACATTGTTGATTAAAATAACTTATAAGTAAGCGTTTGTTTATTGGAATTGTTAGTATTGAATTGTTTATCGGAATTAATTATTTTTTCTTTACAAATTAAAACAAAATAATTTTATGTCATAATACTTTTATGTCATAAAGTCACCAAGTTAAGGTGAAAACAAAACACTCAAAACCCCCTCTAAAATGACTAATCGTGACCTAATAATACAACTAGATAGCGGGCGTTACAAACTCCGCTATATATGTATATATATAGAACTAAACGACACACGAGACTATGTATCTTAATCAGAGTGTCACGAACACGTCGTATATCACAATTAACAGTTTCAGAACATTCGACGAACTTATCTCACTGCGCACAATACACAACAGAGCATACTCCACATCACTCGATACTTTCTCCAAGAAAGTTTTTAACATAAAAGACCTTCGAAGGCAACCCTTGGAGAGAAGTGACTGCTCCTTGTGAAATGCTATTGAGAGGTTTCTTTAGAAGGTCGAGATATAAAGGTTCTACGTTATACATACATTGGATACTTTTGCAAAGTTATTGACATGTAACTTCCCCACAACACAAAGGTGCTCTTTGTCATACTAGTCACTTTGTTGGCAAATAATATACGCCACCCGGTACGAAAGAGATATTTCTAACAGATATTTTCTTCAACCTATATTTTTAATACGCGTATAATAATGATTTCAACTTATATTCCAGGTATCGTGCTATGTGTATTAATGAGAGCCGCACAAAGGCGACAACGTCGGCTCGCATTCCACTGTCCCATTCATGGAGACTTCTACCCAATGAGCCCGCAAAATAGTAGAAAATACTCCCGTAAGTACTTACCTACTTTACTTACATTGATTATACAAGCGTTGAAAATAGTAGTCTGTAGAGATACAGTAACATGGGTTTACATAATCATTGGATAATATTTAGGTAGTAATGGACCTCATCAACTTAATTTAACATTAACTTATTGAATGTAATAGATATACTCGTATTAATATTAAATATATTATATTATATATCATATTATTATTTTTAGTCTCACCGGTTTCTGCATAATTTTTAAGCATTTTCATCATCTGATGTTGAGGCTGGTAATAGCACCTGCCACTGTTTACAATAGGTGAAAATAACTATGAAACAGTGAAGCCAGTCGGAAGATGAATCTGTATATACTGCAGAATAGTGAATAAACTAGAAATGCGATGTAGGCGGGGCAGGCACGCCGGAGTTACGACCAAACGTGCATAATTCTCTGAAAAAAAAGTCGTACCCGCATATTACTTTCGCCTGGAACGCAGCTCATTAAAAAAATTATCGCTATGCCGACTTGCGCGATCATTGCGCGTCGAAATCGAAGCCAGGACTGGAATTTTTCCAAAGGCTACATATCATATTACCGGTAGGTTTTAAGTAATATTGACAAAAAATCACAAAGTATTATGTAATACTAAATGGAAAACTGTTATGATCTAATCTGTTAAATCAATCACACATTGCGTATGAAATTTGAGTACTAACTACATACATTGTGACAACGAGAGCATGCAATGAACTGCATTTCGTGCAGAAACATTTTGATACATTTTGCACGAAAGTATTTGGTAAAGTCACAGTTCATATTTAGTTCCAATAGTGATGTAGCCAACCTTATTTTAATTCATTCGACATTGCAATATTATAGTTTTCGATGATTTTGGTATTTAAATGATTTTCTTTTAAGTCCACTGTTTTTTTTTGTATTATGATTATTAAACAACTGCAAAAAAGAGGAGATTTTTTTCGTTTCCATATTTTTTAATGACCTTATTTTGGAGATATTTTGATTATAGCATTGGTTTTAACAATGAATGAAAAGACTAACTGATCAATTAAGGTGCGTAAATGGATACTTTTGCAAGTCTTACGCCAGTTAGTAAGTAGTAACATATTTAAAAAAAATAGCTGTCATCAAATAGGTGAATACCCTTAATCAAATCATTTATCCGACTTAATAAAATGCGTAATTGACAAATACATAAATATCCAAATGCATTTTAAATTGAAAAATGACAATGTACAAAAAGACACAAAACGGCAATTCTACAATAAATACACATTATTAGAGGGTCAAAAAATATTTGAAAAACATTATATTTCAATCAAATTATTTAATTCTGTTTTATAGTTATTGAATATATAACATATTTTGTATAGAAGAGTAGTATTATTTCACAATAAAATTTTCATGAATGTAATGTGCGACATCAGAGTATCAGCAAAATAAATAATTTACTTAAAATTATTCTCGATACTACATCACTACGGTGCACCGTAGAGTGTTGTTAGAGGTGGATCCGATCCGCGGCTAGGAAATACAGGTCGCGTGAAATGCACCTTATTATGAAGGTTTTAAGGTTGTATTTAGAAACATTATAAGTGGCGTTTAGGATTTATATTCAATAAATCATGTGGGACGAATTAGTTTAAGCTAGACTTGCAACGAATAGTATATTCGGCAGTATACCGAATACCGAATATTCGGCGAGGCCCCTGACCGAATAGCCGAATATTAGGCAAAAGTATTCGGCTGGATTTTAGCGCCAAAAACTTGTACAGACGTGAATTAAATTACGTATCTGTTTTATGTACCAATGACTACTTAATAAATGATTATAAAAGAAATGAGAACCTTACTTACCCTTCTAAATTTTGATTACCACAATAATTCAAATACATAGAATCCTCCATTTTTCCTATTCAGAAGATGATTATGTACCTGTGTTATGCACCAATGACTACTTAAATGATTATAACAGAAATGAAAATATGAATATATACGTAATCAATCGATTTTAATTTTTCATTTTAAAAATTATTTCTCAATGACAAAATATATTATTTAAGTATTCGGTATTCGGCCGAATAATATGTAGATATTCGGTATTCGGCCGAATATAATAAAAGCAGCCGAATAGGCCGAATACCGAATAGTAACCGAATATTCGTTGCAAGTCTAGTTTAAGCTTTTTTATGTGTGTAAAATATTAGTTATCGTTAATATGTGCATGCATGCGTTAATAAACATTAGAACGCACTTCTAAATCTTCTTATGTTTATTCTCTGTTCTGTGGTAGATAATACCTTGAATGTAATATTATATGTAGATTTTAAACAGTGTCTTATAATATGGTGCAGGCAAAGAAAGATGCCCATGAAAAACAAATAGTATATAAACGTTTGTTGAAAAACAATAATTTATTAAAAAAAACCTAAATATGTAACTATAACGTAATTTTTAGTATTTTTCAGGGTAGATGAGATGTGAAAGAATAGTAGAGAAGAGTAGGATGTTCGATCCTAATTAAAACATTTTTACATAAATTCATTACTAATATTCGTGTTTAATAGAATATTAGAAATGACATAATTCACGCAGTCGAATTTATAACTAGCTTTAGGATTTTAGATTTAGATAAGATGTCTAAGTCACCTAAAAGTTCACAGGCTTTTTAAAGATGTATACCCAATGTATAATATACGTCTTAACTAACGTCACAAGCTCCTTATTGGAAACAATACTGTACCATAATACAACTAACTACTTAAAATATCGTTTAGTTATGCATAACTTCCATTGTGTACAGATTGATTTATATTAAGACCGGGAACCTTTGTCACTGTTCTACGGGTTTGACGTGGTATGAACATTTAAATTTATATGTATATTAATATGCACATCTCATGAAATATTCAAATGCGAGCCAAAAATCAAAACTCAGGTCACGAACCGATATGGCGGCTGGGCACTGACATCTGTCCTCTTTGACCGCAAAAGGTGGTGTACAAAAACGACCTGTTTCGACTGTTTCAATAAAAAATAACGAACCCTTCCGCGTGTTATCAACGTCTTTCGCCACGCTCACATTAAGGTCATTCGACATTGTCGTTATCCGGATCTAATTAAATTATACTGGGAACGTTGGAAGTTAGAAAAAGTGTAATCTTTGTTTCCGCTTCTCAGTGTTACATCGCCTTTTTTGTTAGTTTCTTTTCACGAACCTGTATAGCGTTTAGCACATTAAGTCAAAATTACAGTGGTCGTTGTTTAGAGTAATAACTATATAATATTGTTTTAATTATAATATAATACGTCGTCCCTTGTTACTGTTAAAAGTCAGGTCAAACTACGTATTGTTGACACAACAATTCTCATAAATACTGTGCGCAAAAAGATTAATTTTTAAAATGCCCCGCCGTCACAAAGACTTTGTAATAAATAACAAGAAAACTCTTGTCTGATTTCTGAAGTCTGAAAAGTCTTATCTAAGTTGGTGATAAAAATTTAAAAATATCAAAGAAATGGCAATGGCAAAACACTGGCATTGTTTTAATGTCAAAGATTTATTTTCTTAATGGATATCAATAAAAATACTACGTTAAATGATATAAAACAGTAAAAAAAAATACAAATAAAACGACATAGACCAGGGCTGAATGCAGCCTTTGAAAATGGTAAAAAATGTAAATAAAAATAGTAGGATGAAACCCATTGAAAAAGGAAGAGAATATAACAAAAATGAAAGAAAAAATAATTTACCGGCGATCTGAGGTCGGAAAGTGGAAGGGGGAGAGTTTTTAAGAGTAAAAAACGGTTTATCTCGATTTCCGGCAAAACTACAAGTCATCTGGAAAAAATTTAATGGCAAAGTTGTAGGTAATAAAATGATCTACAACTTTCGTATTCACACTTTTTTCACATGACCTCAAAATTTATGTGAAAAATTGAAATAATCAACTTTTTGGTTTTTTAGTTTGATTTTTACAAACACATTTTTTTCACGAAATTTGGTGAAAACTGACCTTTTTTTGTCCCAAACACACTGTAATTTACTATATTACTATTATTTTTTTGGGTTTCAAAAATTATCGACCTAGGTCTAACAAGTATAACAATCGATCTAGCTTAATCGATTGTTATAATCTAATAAGTATAACAATCAATTAAGCATACAAACCCAATTGAAATTTAGAAAATCTTATTAGAATACAGTATAAATTATTAATAGTGGAAATTATTATAATACTTATTATTTTATGATTTTTCAGATAGTCCTTCAGGCCTGTGGCGCTGGATGCGCAGCTGGCTAGGGCTGGTAGAGGAAAGCGAGGCGGCGCGCTGCCCGCGCTCTACGGAACCAGCTTCACCGGCGCGTGCTGATGCACCGTGTCCGCCACCTTTACCTTTCCTAGTACCTTCTGATTCTGTTGTGTAAGTATTTATTTTACTTTTCTTATGTATCTAACCGCTGAAAGCGGCTTATATAATTTTCGTGCCTGCATATGTGTACATAAATCTTTTAGACGCTCTAAAAAATTTGATAAACGCCCATGCTTGCGGTATCATTGGATTAGGCTAAATTGTGGAAATGACATAGGGTAGTTGTTTGAGTTTTTAGTTTTAGCAACACTATCCTTATAAGATTCAAAACAATGATAAGTACTATTAGGTACATAATTCATATCATACAGAACACTAAGCCGAAAACTAACTAAAACAAAAACCATATAGTTATTGTACAAGTGTAAGATCAATATATATGTATGGGGTCAACCAATAAGAACGTCCTGGTTTAAAAATTGAATAAAACAAACAATTTTTTATGAAAAATGCATCCGATTGATTTATTTGATATATAATTTTATGCAATTTATATTTTAAATAATAAATCGGCCAAATGACCGCCGCGGCTCTTTTTGCAGACGGTCACCCGCGCACGCCAATTTTCGATGACGCGGTGCACCATTTCGGCCGGTATGTCGGCTATGGCTCGTGGAATGTTGGTTATTAGGTCACGAATTGTAGGTGGATTATTGCTGTACACTTTAGATTTAACGTAACCCCAAAGAAAATAGTCTAAAGGTGTTAAACAATTTTGTATGGGTGTAGGCCCAAATCCAACCGCAAAATACGCCAGGTGGTCATTGGAGAGAGCCCCAACTCTTGTGAACGGCGTTGAACTGATCGATTTGAATTCTCATCAACACTGGCCTGAACGGCTGCGATATTCTCTTCACTACGGGCATTTCTTTCTCTCACAGGCACAGCAGTATCGTGGAGAGTGAATTCACTTTCAAATTTTGTTATTATGCGATTTATAGCGCGCACAGAAGGAGCACTATTACGACCGTTTTTTGCGCGAAGCGCTCTTACTGCAGCAGTAGAAGAACGCGAATTAGCGTAATAATTTTTGACAATTTCCAAGCGTAGGTTTAAAGTGTAACGTGACATGATAAAATGGCAAACCTTACTGAACACAAACGTCAAGAGACGTCAAAGATCCATTATCAAACATGGCCGCTATGAGCTGTCAAAACCAAGTCACCCCTATTGGTAGACCCAATATATATATGTATATATAAAAATGTTAAGTTAGTTTGTGTACTCTTCAATAGTCAAAAGGTTCTGCACCGATTGAGCTCAATATCCAACACGTATCAGGTTTTTTTGTCAGTTTTGTTCCTCATTTCACATCAATGCCCTGGTCCTGAAGGCCAGCAAAGTCTATCTCCTTTGTAGTGGCGAATCTTCTGGCCGGAACTCCACCCATCTGGAGGCAAGAGCCCTTGCGGCTCCGTATCGGTGGCGCAAGGAGGCGCGGGAGTTGGGTCGGAGTCCTTAGACTCGAAAAATCGAGGACCAGAAATCCCAACTCGTAGAGGACCTCATAGAGGAGTGGAAGGAACGACTTGGGCAACCGAGCGATGGGTACGCCGTAAGACCCGTTATTGAGAATTGGCAGAAGGAAGGAGATGGCAGAGCGGGACCTGGAGAGGTTTAGAACTCTCCCGGCCCTCCAGGCCCGGAAACGTTTCAGACGCAGACGCAGCCGCAGACGACTCGGGCGTCGGAGTTCGCAGAACGACCTCCAATATATATATTATATAAAAATGTTAAGTTAGTTTTGTACTCTTCAATAGTCAAAAGGTTCTGCACCGATTGAGCTTAATATACAACACGTATCAGGTTTTTGTGTCACTTTTGTTCCTCATTTCACATCAATGCCCTGGTAGCCATCGGAGTAGGGGTCCTCTCGCTCGGTGTACGGAGCGAGAGTGCGTGGAACTTCGCCGTCTCGTTCTGCGAGCAAGTTATGCTTGCGAAGGAGATGGTAGAGCGGGACCTGGAGAGGTTTAGAACTCTCCCGGCCCGCCAGCAGAAGCAAGGCGGGGTGGCGGCGAGACGTGCTGCGGAGCGCGCGCGCCTTTTTGGGAGCACAAAGGGAACATGGGGGCTCCCACACAGGAGGAGAGGGGGGGGGGGGGTTAACTACACGCCGTGGATGGCCCGAGGTACGTCAGTGTACCAGGGAGTTCTTTTCTAGGGTACACCTGGTTCCTCCTGGTACTGGTACCCGAGACTGTGTTCGCTTTTTGGTCGGCTTGAGTCCGACATAATTACCCTACCGGTGGGTGATATCAGCAAAAAAAGGTTACAGCTAGTATCTAATAAAAGATAACAAATCACTAACCGATGCTATTCCGATGCTATTTCCCGTTCGGTAGCTAACGTTCCCACACATTAATAACCATGCATAATATATTTATATCGCTTACTTTTTTATTTTACAGGGGTATGGCGTCTGTGCTCGGAGCTCCACTGAGTCCAGAACAAACATTTGGTTCTATCAAGTCTCTTGCGATATCGCGGGAGGTAGCAAGTTTTCCTCTCTCGCGCTCGCCGACGCCACCGCCTATGAGGTAAATACACATAATATAGACAAGCTATTGCTAGTTTACCTGGGTGACCAAAGCTGACGCATTTTTTTCGGGGGCAAAATACAGCGCTGCTTTTAGGAATGACGTCTCTATATAAAATCTCAGAAACCATTTTTAAGAATTACGTCAAAATAGATAAACTTAAAAGCTAAATTTTATCTAAATACAGCATAGATTTAAATTTGAACCATATCTGGGATACACGAAATGTATTTTATATATAATATGCTTGTGAATAGGAGTTGCTCAATAATATTTAGCAGTACCTAAGTGTTTAAAACATGTATTATACTCGTATAATTTCATTTATTTTTTCATTTACTGGTTTATTAGCACTATAGAATCGAATTGACACACTTTTGAAAAATAATAATAATAATAATTTATTCAAGTAAGTAATTTGTACATGGCATGCAGTGTTGTCTTATAATACTTAAATTTACAAGGAAAAACCAGTACAACATATAAACAATAGGTCATAGGACTCTCTTTCCTAAACTAGGCAGGAAACCTGTCTGTATCTTAGGTAAGAGTATCCATTTATAATGTCTTATACCGGTTACAAAAAAATTTAGGTACATGCAGTGGGCGAACAAAGTTATGTTATTAAAGAATTAAAATAAAACAAGAAGTGTCTGTCTGTGTATCTGGGTGGAAGGTGGATAATACATGTACGAGTACGATCATTTTGTTCTGTTTCTTTAGAAATATATATGTTTCCGGTTGTCAGCAACAGGAAAGCCCCCTCATCCGCAAATTACACTAAACTAACTAACTACAGGGACTAAAAATTACAGGCATTAAATTACGGCTGTTTAATACGTCTTTGTCTGGGCTAGAGAGAGGCGTATAGTTCATTTTACCGCTAGCCACCGCTATATCTCGTTTGCCTATTAATCGTGTTTTATAAATACCAGTCGAAGAGTAACATTTGTATTATTATTGTCCATGCTTTTCTTAAACCCTATATAATACAATTTCTAAAAACAATTTACCTCAATCAAAAGACAAACTTTTTTTAGCCGAAATACACCATTACTACTCATGAGGTCAAGAATAATTTTATTTTTTTGTATCTTTGTCAACAGTTGTCCACCGTACATCAAAGAGGAGTCGAAGGTGCTTGACGACATTCCGAACGCAGTTATTATACGTCCCGACTTCAATTGTGGATCACCGACCTGCAATTATCGAGTTGTTGAGTGTAAACTCACAACAACAGACGAAATAAATCGCAATACGCCATCCAACACAGTTTCCACACACACTAGTGCAAACAACACAGACCATAGACAACAAAGACCCATTTCGGTATCTATAACAATACCTGACGAAGGAAAAGGCTAATAGACGTCTTTAATTTAGTTTTTTTTTAAATAATGTTGTTCTAAGTGATAGAGAACGCGCTATCTCAAGTATTTGGCGTAAGGTTTATGTCGACCACATTGGGTGTATAGTGGCGTCAACAGTGTTGCCATCTTAATGTTTAGTGTTTCCTAAATCGTAATTTTTTCACTGTTTTAACTTCCTTCTTCTAAATTAAGAAAAATTGCTGATATACATTTTTACAATACTCATAAAATTGTCAAATGTACACAAATGCCACCTTGAATCACATTCCTTTTTTATAAAAAAAGGCTTAGATTATTTAGGGAAAGCTATCTTAAGGTAAATAGCAACACTGGCCTAGAATTAATGCACATTGTTTTTTAAAAGTCATCAGTGAGCCGTCAGCCACGATATGCCTAATATGGCCGCACCCTAAACAATGTACATAAGTTTTATTTAAGGACACATGATATGTATATTGTTTGAATTTTGACATCTGCTCAAAAGATCACAATTTGTCTTCCGCTAAGGCTCACATAATTGGTACATTCAAAGTTAACACAAAATAACTTAGTATTTTATATACCTACACTAAACAAGCAGTTCTGACGGTACATATTACAAATAAATCATCCAAATCAGCTAAAAAAATGTTCACGAATAATGAGATCACGAAAAAGCGAAAAGATGCGAATATTTAGCTTTTGGAATAATACTCGCGCAAATACAAAATAAGAAATGAACCGCGTCATTTCTAATTTTGTATTATGAATGAATGCCTTCACGACGACGCTAGTAAAACAGATGATCTTTTCTTAGAAGTTCTTTTCGAATAAAGAGTTTCAACGAAAGGCGATTCAATCATGAATCCTAAAAATATATGCTTCATTACATAATTTTTTAATGAACTAAATAGTCTTCCTAGATCTTAATCTCCTCCATTATTGAAAATATAAGTATATGTTAAGTACTGAACTGCAAGTTTAGTTGGTAATGGTAATATATATTAAGTTTTGTAATAACACAAGATTCCTCTGCATTGACTGTCGTGATTAATTATTAAATTTACCATCGGTAACACAAATAGAATTAAATTTATCTATCTATCGTAAACATTGAAACCAGTGGCAGTCGTGAAATCTTGATAATGAAGTTTGATCAGAAATTTAAAAATTACGTCACTGAATGGTAAATTTCAGAAACTTGTAATAACTCTTGTTATTTTCATCATGTTACTTATTCGCTGTTATCATCAAAATTAGCTCGATTTATTTATATACTACCTCTCCCTACTCTTTTAAAAAAGCCTTATTCACGCATGCCCACGACTGTCACTCTCCTATAAAATATAATGATGAACAACACGCATCTGAAATTGGTAAAGAATGTCAACCATGTTAGCACCAACACCTTGGACGTTACGCCAATAAATGGTATAAAACTAAGTTGATCACGTTATACGCTTTAATCAACAATACAATAAACTTTTAGCAATATATTGCGCCAAATATAATTGTAAAGAGAAAATAGGTAAGGATGTCAATGTGAAATGTTCTTGTGAATGGTTTGTGTTATTGCTCCCAATTTAGAACTAAGCAGAACATTTCGTTCATTTATATTTCATCAATCATGTTCGGTTGTATATTGTAGGTACTACATAAATATTATAATATAGATATTTACGTAAATATTCCAAAACATTGTTTTAAACAAGTTAATAAAAACTATATGTACATTTTCTACAACTTTAAAACGGACATAATTGATCACTTAATTTTTTAAATTACGAAGAAGAGAATTCTAAAAACCGCTAAAAGTGTACCTATATATGATATTCTTATTTTCAAATATTATGTAGTTTTACTTCAATGTTTTACCTCAATGTCATTACTTAAAAAGATAGCGACGATATCTTTTTAAGTAATGCCATCTGTTGTGATGAACTTCTCGTATTGTACGTAGTGCACGTCGAAACTATTGGTGTTTGTGTGCACACGTGTGGTATATTCTGTTATCATGAGTGATATTTGTCTGATTTTTATTACTCACAGTCGAGTCGAGTCGAGTCCCGCATTTTCATACCAAATCTAGGTTAAAGGCACATGTAGGATAGGAATATGTCTGAACCAGTCTTTTTAAAAATTCATTATAAGACTTTAGTTATGCTATGAAATGGTTAGCTTCGTGTTTTTATGTATGTCGACTTTAAATATAAGCGCGGAGAACAATATTAGGAAGATAAATTTTTGATGTAGATCTCATACTATTTTTGTTTTAAATATGATTACAAGCAGTAAATGAGAAATGGTTTAAATGAATTATCATGTATGTGATATGTTTTTGAATATGATTTTTAAAGTCTTCAAGCAAAATCGGATAACTTTGAAATAATCCAAAGTTACCCGCGCTCCTATTGTATTTTTTATGACTGAAGTCTAGAGTATTTTATTTTCAACGCTCATTGTGTCGACATTCTAGTCGTATCGTTCTATCTATTTACATATTTTGTTCGTCTAATATATATACCCACTCATATACGCGGTAGAAGAAATGTATTGGCTCAGTAGGATAACCGTTCCTTACATTATATTTGTAAGAATTTGTCCATTACATTCGTTTACACGTTATATTAGTATAAGTATATTATGTAAGAGTACATATGAAACACGTGCCCTAGATTGTAGTTCCGATTGTGATATTTTTTATGTTTTAACATTTTTTTGACTAATGTACTTATGTACAACAGAACACAATTTTAAATAGGTACTTTTGTAACTACCACAACACATGTTTGTGATCTGTGGTGGGTTTAAAGTATAAATACATAACATAATGTCTGTTTTGTTGTTCATATTCATTATTTTGGTGCAGGAGCCCAAAAGGAAGATGCCAAATTTCATCCGTTAATCACGTCCATGTTTTTATATGATAATTTGATTTAACATTCATATAATAGGTATTGTGCTCAGAAAAGACAATTTTGAGAGAAGCAAGGATGTAGATGAAAGTTGTAGTTCACGTATGTTATTTAGTAATCTATTGGTACGTACTACATTAGGTATATTATCCCTCATAAGTTTTGTGTTGGAGGCATTTATTGGCCAAGTTATTCAAAATTATATGGAGTGTAATTTTTATAATCCGTAGTTAAGTGCCACGCCTAAATAATCTATAAATATTGTAAACTTAAATTAAGCTTATTTAATATTGTTATAAGTGTAAGGATGAAATGAAAATACAAATTTAAGTTAAGCACAAGTTCTTTTCTTTGAAGCTTAGAACACTATTTTAACAAGATCCTGAAGATTATTCCGTAGGTTGTCTCTATAAATAAGTTACTACTTATAGCGAAAGACATTTAAATAATATGAGTAAGTAAGGTCTTTACTATATGAAGTTTGCTATTATTTTAGAAGAAAACGTACCCCTGTGGATTACTTCATTGTCTGTCTGCTTACACATTTTATATCAAATTATTTTAAATTCCTTTTTTTAGTTTTAACTTTTCAAGCTACAATTATCTCAAGCTCTGATATACTTAGTTATTCGTTTTGTTAAAGCTATAAATTTTTTTTAAAGGGCTAGTCGCTACGCTCTACTAATTTATATAACTTCCGAGCTTCAACCGACACAGGGTTGACCAGTACACTATTACAAAGGCCCATATTCCTACCTCTCAAGACCCCTAAATATTCCATGTAAGTTCTGTTTCTTACACATTCAAAAATAATGTGTAATACATACATCTATAAAAGAAATTATTTATTATATTATTTTTGTATAGGTAATTTATTTCAACCTTACTTACTAAACTCCAATAATTCTAAACGTCTCAAGACAAAGCCTCAAGATATGTACAAGTACTACGCAAATCTTTTTAAGTTTTTGCAGGAAAAAAATTATGCATTTTATATGTCTGCGATACTAGAGATGAAATGTATTCCAGGAAAATTCTGCTAAATGGGGATTCAATTCAAACACAATTAGGTACCTACTATTGTCCATTTTTATAAGGTAGGCTAGACATATAGGTAACTATTAAACTGTCAAATCAATTGTCAACAAATAAATTATTTCTAAGTATCTAAGTTTACAAACAAGCATGACCCATCTAATGGTAAGTGGTTACCGATATTTATGAACAGTCGCACTTTCGATATCTATGAAGTTATCACTTGTACGTACATGAATATCTCATCACTTGATGCTATACTATCACTATTAGTTCCCCGCTTTATAAAGATAAATGGTAATAAGTACATAATTTAAATTAAAATCTTTTTATTATAAGAAATAATTTAAATGAAGGAGCACTAATTATTTTATCTCTGGTTCTTTAATATTAAGAAAGTGCCTACCGTTTTTTTACGGTTTAAGGGAGTAAACGAGTAGACAGATCACTTGATGGTAAGATAGACATGGAAATAATTGCTACTTTGAATCCTATTCATTTGATGAAATAATTGGTGTTAGTCACAGCGATGTAATTGTGATTTCGTCATAAACAAAGATAAATGGCATTTAAATCAATCAAAATTATTTTATCGAAGATTACGACGTTTTTTTAAGATTTAGACGTTTCGCGAGTCTTGCACTAGCGTAATAGTAATAATTAAGTCACAGTGGTTTTGTAATTCAGTCACAGTTGTGAGGATTTGATTTATAAGTTATATGATTTATCACATGTGATTGTGATTTTATTCCATTCCTAATTAGTAACTACCGCCGTTCATGGACACCTGTAACTCTAGAGTCACGAGTGTGTATTGCCTTTGATTTGAGTTTTCCCCCACCTGTATTATTATTGCGTTATTTGAAGCCTACTGCCTGTCATTCTTGAACGTGTACAATAACGCACTTAGGGTGCTGTTGGGTTTGCCGTTGAAGTTCAGCACATCAGTTATGTTTGCAGAGATGGAAATTAATAATTAGAAAAAAGTGCGCTTCCTTGATGACGCGTCTCCGCGGCAGTACCAGCCTAAGGGTGTTCACAGATCGATGGGAGACACAGATGATTC